CGGCCGGGGAGTCGGGCTCCGAGGGCGAGGGCGACGCAGGCGTGGAGGAGTCGGAGGAGGATCGGCGGCGAGCGAGGGGGGGAAGTGAGAAGGAGAATCGGAAACTGGAACATACACATTACCAGTGGCGGGCTGCTTTTTCGATCCCGCGACTTTTTGGGGGTCGGGGACGACGTCGGGGGGTGTGGTGTAGACTTGTCCCCCGTTTTCCCAGGGAAACAGCGAAAAATGTATACACCAGGATCCCGTATACACCAGGATCCGCGTTCTTGTGCGAATTTCAGCGCAGGGTCGGAAAACGCGTCGGTGTATAGAGTGCGTTTCCCCAGAGAAGGTCTTCTCGGAAGGCGGCGGGATTTCTCAGAAGCCCTCGCGCCTTCTGAGAAAAGTTTGCTCCGTCTCCAGGGACGGCTCAGAAGACTTCTCAGAAGGCCAGGGAGCTGCCGAGCCTTCTCAGAAGGCCAGCCCCTTCTCGCTTCCCCCCGGGCGCGCCGCCTAGAGGAGGAGGAGGAGGAGGAGGAGGACCGCTCAGACGCAGAGGAGGACGCTGCGCCCCCCAAGAAGAAGTTCAAGCCCAGCGGGGATGGCGGCACTGGCGGGGGCGGGGGCACAGGCGGGCGCGGGGGCGGCTGCGAGGAAGAGGGCACCAAGGGCGGCTGCAGGGGCAGGACGAGCGGGGGGACGCGGTGACCCTGGCCTTCGCCCCGGCGGCCTGGATCCCCTCCCGACGCCCACTGGGGCTCGGCCCCTGCGGCCTGGGCGCGGCAGCCGTTCCTCGCCGAGCATGTTCGCCTGGTCTCTCCTCCTCCTCCTCCTCCTCCTCCTCCTCCCTCCTCCTCCGCCTCCTCCTCCCCCTCCTCCTCCTCCTCCTCCTCCTCCTCCTCCTCCTCCTCCCCCTCCTCCTCCTCCTCCTCCTCCTCCTTCTCCTCCTCCTCCTCTCGACGGGGCTCCAGGGCTCTAGCCCCGAGTTCTCTCGCTGGTGTCGCAGCCTCTGCTCCGCGCTGGCTCTCCGGGGCGGCGCGCGGCCTCGAGGGCGGCCGGGCCGCCCCGCGGCCCGACGGCTGGTAGTTGTTTTGTTCTTCGCCTCCCGGTGGGGTCCGAGCAGGTTTGATCGAGGGATGGCGCCGCATCGCCGACGCATCGCAACCTCTGCTCCGCGTCGGCTCTCCGGGGCGGCGCACGGCCTCGAGGACGGCCGGGCCGCCCAGCGGCCCCTGGCATCGCTCGGACGTGCGCATTTTTTCTCGGCGAGAAGTATTGAGGACGATCCTAGACGATTGAGGCGGGTCCGGCCAGACGAAAGGGTAAGATAGGGAAAGAGGGGGTCGCGGCATTTGCTGCGTGCAGTTGGTTTCGGCCCCGCTGCTGGGCCCGTGCCTCGGGCGATTCTCCTGGCATCGCTCGGACGTGTGTATTTTTTTCTCGGCCAGGACCCTTGAGGACGATCTTGGACCATCGAGCAAAACACGATCGACCCACGAACCTGGAAAGGAATATAGAAATGTAACGCATGGCAGCGTTTTCAGAGACACCTGATTGGGTGACGGGCAAGTGCAATGCTGATTGTATCGATCTTGATGTACCGTGCCGAGGGCTGTGCTGTGCTGCACCGTGCTGAATTGCGATGTGCCATGCCGCGGTTGTGCTCTATAGCGTCGTGGATCGAGTCTTCCTTTGCATCCGAGTCCTGACCGAACTGATCTGGATCTGAAGCTCGAGCTGCCTGAACACATAGTAGCTGCCCCAGAGCTAATTGACAGGGGGACATGCCAGGAGGACGCGCCGCGAAACGTCCCAAGGGACGCGCCAGGCGACGTGCCAAGGGACGTGCCATGGGGTCGCACCGTAGGACGTGCCAAGGGGACGCGCTACGGGACATCCTCAAAATTCCTGCGCGCGGGACACGGCACGCGCGAGACATCCTCAGAATTCCTGCGAGCGGGACACGAAAACAAGCATTTCGCCTGAGACATCCTCTGAATTCTGGCCCCCCGCGAAGCCCCCGCTCGAGACATCCCCAAATTTTGCAAGACCAGCGTTTCGCTCGAGACATCCTCAACAAATTATGAATAACAAGCGTTTCGCTCGAGATATCCTGCAAAATTCTAAAACATCCCGACAAAACAAGTGAATTAGTCGAGACATCCTCGAAATTCCTGCGCGCGGGACGCGGCCCGCGCGAGACATCCTTGGAATTCCTGCGAGCGGGACACGAAAACAAGCATTTCGCCTGAGACATCCTCTGAATTCTGGCCCCCCACGAAGCCCCCGCTCGAGACATCCCCAAATTTTGCGAAAACCAGCGTTTCGCTCGAGACATCCTCAACACATTATGAATAACAAGCGTTTCGCTCGAGACATCCTGCCAAATTTCTAAGACATCCTGACAAAACAAGTGAATTAGTCGAGACGTCCTCGAAATTCCTGCGCGCGGGACGCGGCACGCGCGAGACATCCTCGGAATTCCTGCGCGCGGGGCGCTTTTCCGCGTCGCGGTCGGGGCTCCAGGTCCCGTTATTTGTCGAGGATTCTGCGAAAAAACGCTCCGCCCTCGCGGCCCGGGTCGTCGAGCGGCTGCCGAGCGGTAGTCGAGGGGGCATTGGACAAGGAACCCCTAGATCAGGAATCCGGGGTCTGGAAGCCCGTGGAGTCCCGATCGTGGAGTCCCGATCGTCACCACCCACCAAACCACCCCAACCCAACCCGAAGACTTCAATTTGCCCTCCATTTCCAGTTGGGGGGGGTCTGGGAACGTCGAAAAAACACATGGGATCCGTACCCCCCCCAACCCGAAATTCGGGTCGAATTCGGGCCTTCGGGTTGGGTTGGGGTGGTCTGGTAGGTAGTCAGATCGTGGGTCTGCAGCCCCTGGGCGCATGCCTTAGCCAACGCCCCCCAGCGTAGCCGAGGGCGCGGCAGGAGGCCGCCCACGGGCGGGCACTATGGGGGGGGGGGATCGGGCGGGCGCTCCTCGGCAGCGGGGCGGGAACCCTGCAGGCAGACCGTGTGAGAAGGATCTGGACGCCCGAAATGGGTACGGAAAGAATGGGTACAATGGCCAACAACAAATGTTGTCCCGAACCAACAGCGGCCGCTGTTGGGCAGGCGGCCTTCTGTCTCGCATGGACACGGGCCGCGGCGGCGCGGACAGCGAGTGGGCTGCTGTTGGGCATTGTACCCAATCTTTCCGTACCCATTTCGGGCGTCCAGAAAGGATGCGCGATGAGGATGCCACACGCTGCGCCGGCGGATGAAGGCGATCGAGCGGTGCTGGGTCCAGTGGCTAGACCTGGCCACCAGACCCAAGCACCAGGTCTAGCCTCTATCAAGGGGCCCAAGGACACACACAAACAAATACACACAAATAAGAGGATTCTCCGTATTTTCCCATCTGTTCTCGGTGTTCGTCTTCCCCCCACTTCCCATATTTTCCCATCTTTTCTGGGGGATCGGCGATTCATTGTGTCTGTGTGTTTTTCCCTCCTGACTCTAGACCCAGCCGTTGGACCCGACGACGCCACAGCCGACCAACGCAGCAAGGATGTGCGCGATCAGGGCGCAAGAGCCTCGGACGCCCACGCCGAGGCCCGTCGGGCGGGGCGGGCCGTCGACCGTGGTTGGGAATGGACCGAAGATGGCCGAAGATGGCCGAAGATGCAAGGATGCAGGGGTACAGTCGGGGCCTTGACCTAAGGAACCCTCAATAAGGAGCGAGGCCCCTGTTTTCCATGAGTTAACCTTCGGTTTCCTGTCAAAGACATAAGGAAAGCCTGAGGCAAGCTGTGAAACACTTGAGGAACGCGGAGCCCCTCCCCAACGAAAAGGGTTCCTTCTTCAGGGCCCCAACTGTACCCTTGGGAAGCCGATCGTCCTCACTATGCGGTTTTGACCGCGCCCTCGCCGATCAACGATTCAGGCAGCCCGATGGGCGGCGGGGGCAGGGTTCAGAGATCGCCGAACACGCGGCAAAATCCGAACCCTACCCCCGCCTCCCATCGATTCAGGGGAATCGATGGTCGGTGGGGACAGGGCTCGGATGTCGCCACCGAGTTCAGGGGGGGGGGGGACCTACAGAGGCGGGGGCGAAGAAAGGGGCCCTAGGGCTCCCCCTCCTTCGCCCCATCTTTCGGCCCCCCCCCCTTGAGGTCACCCGCCCTTCACACCCGCCCCGAGCTCAGCGTGCCGCGGCGGCTCGGGCGGCACGCCGGGCCGCGCGAGCGGACAGCTGATCGCTCCACTCCGCGAGCGGCGGGAGGCCGGGAAAGGCTCGGGACGCTGACGCTGGGGGACCCGCAAGTGGACAGCGTGTCGCGCCGAATCAACACCCCTCTGACGGGGACTCCGCTAACGGTTACTTTGGCCAGTGACCCGGCGAGTCCAACCCCCTCCCCGACGTGGGCAACGCTGCAACGCCAGACAGAGCTCCCAAAGTGGCAACTTTCGGCAACTTTCCAAAGTACCCGTCAGCGAGTACCCGTTACGATGCCGCTGAAACGTGGCGGGCCAGAACCGGAGCGAAACGCTATCCAGAAGTTCCCGACCATAAGTGGCGTCCAAGCCGACAGGGTCGCAGGATCGCCGACGTCGGCGATGCATCGGCGCCGTCGGCGTGGACGAAATCGGGCTCCACGTCGAGCCGCATCGGCGATGCGTCGGCGATGCGGCGCGATCCCTCGATCAAACCTGCTCGGACCCCACCTGAGAGGCCAAGAACAACACAACTGCCAACCGTCGGGCCCTTGCCATCGCTCGGACGTCCCTTTCCCGTGCACTTTTCGGTTTCGTGTGTGTTTTTTTCCCGGAAAGGGCGTAGGCCCAGGTTCTCTTTTAGATGGTTTACCCCCGGTTTTGACTTGAAGAGGGCCGGCGAAATTATTCTGAGTAAATAACGAGGTAAAATGCTGATACATATATATAGACATATATATATATATATGTATATATATGTACATATACATACATACATATATATATATATATATATGAAAAAGTGCGTTTCG